CCACACACTTGCGCTCATCACACACGCCGAGCAGCCACCAACATCAACACCGCTGAGTCAGTCACTGTACTGTCTCTTGTCGCAGACTGGACATCACGACCATCACCCCCCCCCACACACACACACACACTGCCACTGGCTCTCAAAGCCCTGGTCGTTTTCTCATTTTTTTTGAAGGTGCCCCATTCCCGTTGATCTAGTCCTGCTTGAGACGAGGCCCGCACCGACGCTCCATACCGTTCCCTGGCTGCCGCATTACCTCGGCGGGCCTCGACTGCCACAAAACCACTGAGGCCAAGCAGGGCCTGGCTTTTCAGCCATGCCCTTTAGGATCTGGCCTTTCCTTCCAGCTTGAACCGCTTTTGCCTCCCCCTCTGCCATTCCCCTCTCAGCAAGCAGCGCGCACACGCGCGCCTGTGTGTGTGTGTGTGTGTGTGTGTGTGTGTGTGTGTGTGTGTGTGTGTGTGTGTGTGTGTGTGTGTGTGTGTGTGTGTGTGTGTGATTTTAAAAAAAATTTCCTGACCAGTCGTTCCCAAACGGCCACCACACGTATACAGCGAAGCAAGGCCTCGTCCCACCGCCAAGGGAAAGCGCTTTGGTGCCTCTCTGACCTCCTTCCTATCTTCGACCTTCGCCACCATGTCGGATCTTCTCCCCAACTTGGCACCCGACCTGGCCACCTTTTTAAACCCCAACCTTGAGGTGGCCCTTGATTCGATCAAAGATGACCCCACCATGAACTGGCCCCCCGCTACTGGGCCCGCCTCAGTCCGTACTTCCATGGCCCATCCTCGATACAGTTTCAACACCAGGCTGGACTGGCCCGTGGGGCTCAATGGCCAGCCCGCAACCATTTGCGCCAACTCGCTCTCTACCCCCGACTTTCTCGCCATAAACTGTTCCACCATGTCCGAGGGCCCTGCCATGCCCTTGCCCCCCAAGTCTCAGGCCGACCCCACTGGATCCAGCTTGACCCCCGCCGATCTACCCGAGGCGCTCCTCACCGATGCCCTCTTGTCCATGAACCCAACTGACCGCGACTCGGGCAATTCAAGCGGCTCGAGCGGATCGGGCGGCTTGTCCAGTGCCCGCTCTGACCCTGATCTCCAAGCTGACCTCAACCCAAACTTTAGCCCTGACCTCAAACCTGCCTCCTCCACAAACCCTTCCTTCTCCGCGCCCTCCTCTTCCGCCAGTCACCACAACGCCAGTTCCCTTTCAGCAGCAGACCTCTCCGCTACCGACGTACGTTTCGAGTCCCCACCCATCCCCAGCCACCCTGCGTGGCCATCCTTCAGACCTAACTTTAAACTTCCTTCGTGCGCGCAACGTCTCTAGGAAGCCCTGCTTGCAGCAGCTCAGGCTCAAGCTGACACCAATCTTCTCAGCTCAGAAGAACTGCAAACCGCTGCCCAACATGCCGATGGCTTTGCCTTTGAACTTGAGGACTTTGTTGTCTCCCTCAATGATTGGGCTGATCTCATGAACGCCACCAAGGCCGAGACCAGCCCCGCCCCCGCCACGACCAGCCCAGTCACCAGCGCAGCCATCACCCCCACCAACACCTCCACCCTCACACCAGCCCTGGCATCTGGTCAGGCGCAGCCTCCCGCCGCAGCCCCGGCGGTCACAGCTGGCCCCAGTCGCCGAAGCTCGCACGGCAAACAAATGCCCCTGCCTAAAGCCGCCGCCCCTCCCTCAACAACCCGCAGACACACCCAGCCCGGCTCCGGAGTCAATCTTACCGAACCAAGTGCTGCACCGAGCATCAGCCTGAATCAATCGCTGCCGCCCAGCGAGCCTGGTTGGCATCGTGCCGCAGACTTGCAAAGCAGCGACAGCTGCCTCTCTGATTCAGACACAGAAGGTGCTCCTGGCGCAGGCTCGGCACATGCAGCCCGCAGCCCGCAACGCAAACGCCCCGCCCACTCCACTCATACCACTGGCACTGACGAAACACGGCCCAAGGCGGCCCGACGCCCCAAGTCCCGCCACTGCACCAAGCGCTTCGCCTCCTCGAGCATCGACACGCTTAAGGAGTGGCTCTTTGCCCACACTGATCGCCCTTATCCCACAGACCAGGACAAGACCGAGCTCATGCAGCAAACCGGACTGGACCTGATGCAAATTAACAATTGGTGCGAGCCTTGCTTTTCGTTTGGTGTCTTCAAACCCGAGCCGCCCCCGTGGATTCAGACTTTGCCTCACCCCATGGCCCTGCCGCTCCACACAGGTTCATCAACGCCCGGCGCCGACTGCTGGTCAAGGTCAACAAGCCCAGCCGCAACAAAACATCCACGAGCCGCCCAAGCTCGGTACGTGCTTCTGTTCCACCCTGCACGATCCGTGGGACGAGGCAAACGGCAGAAATGACAATGCGAAGCTGGGAGATTTTGTCGGTGCACAATCGTGGTGGCACTAACCTTTTTATGCTTGCTTTGGTGGCTTTACAGCGTGTTAGCTTTCAGCGGCGAGCCAACAAACGCCATTGAATTGTCTTTTCGCCTTTTTCCTTCTTCTTTACTTTTAATTGGCAGCCTTATTTTGTTCTTGCGGGCTCAAAGGAGCACCGGCCAATCTGGGCAATCGCAACATCGGGTGCTTTGCTGCTTCTGAGCGACTTTAAACAAGCCGCTCACTAATGTTGATATTAGATGACTCACAGATTGAATCGCATGCTGTGCATGCTCGAGCTTGAACGGGATCTTTGATGTCCCCCTTGTCTTTATGGACGACACGTGTGTGTGTTTGCGTAGCGTTCCTCTTTTTTTTTTTTTTTTTTTTTTTTTCTTCTCTCTTATAGCCCACCGCCTTTTGCATTGAGATCGACTTTGCTCGGGTTCGTCTTCGTTTGCACAACGCAGTGACGTTTTGTGACCAATTGAGTCGCTTCTAGTTTATATGAAAATGTTGATTTTTTTCCTAGTTATTGGCAGCCTTCCTCGACGTGTGTCTTCTTCCTTCCTTCCTTCCTTCCTTCTTTCCCCATCTGTGCCGATTGCACGTTCTTGCGTGCTGCATGGGTGCAATACAAATCAGATGAATGAATTGGTCAAAGATGTTTGGCGAGAAGAAGGGCACCCGTATCAAAAGCGGGGGAACAAAACGGCCAAACAAGACGGGCGAAGACCGCGACGTGTACGACGAGGGGAGAAAAGCTAAACGAAAAGCGTGCTTGCGACGTGAGAGCGCCGGGAGAGCCTATGGCGGGTTGAGTTTTGAGATGCCAAGACACGGCATGAAGAACAACGGAGATCCAAGCTTTGACAACTCGTGCCAGGGAACAAGGCGCACAAACTCAAACAACCAGAAAGCACAACAACAGAACAAGAAGGAAAGAACTAGGAAAGAAAACAATTAAAGCTCAATGGAATCCGAGCGGAATGGTCAAGACGGCTTGACATTGACACAGCACCAAATTCTCAAGAGGTGCACCGTCACAAGATGGGAGAGCGTCGGAGCCACGGCCAAAGCTGCACGACGTCAAGATCAAGGGAGGGGGGAGCCAGTGAGCTTCTTCCCTGCACCTACACACGCGTGCACGGGTGCGCCCTGGCTGGACTGCTTGGGGCCTTTTATAAGAGAAAAGCATGGACAGGCAAAGTGCTGAAGCAAGCACGGACCCTGGTGTTTGGGGAGAAGGTTGTGGGCGACGGTCATGAGGTACTCTGGGCTGAGGTTGAGGGCAGGCGTTGTGGGGGCTGTTGGTGGGAGCGATGTGGCGAGTCGGTGCGGGAGGAATTTCTCGAGGCGGGCTGGGAGGCACGGCGGGAAGGGGTTCGGGAGGCGTTGGACGAGGCGTTGCTGGAGTGGTCTACGGAGGAGGCTCGGCGCAGGGAGCCACTGCGACTCGGGGATTTGCTGGGCGGGGGGACCGTGGCGTCGATGCCCAGGTAGGCTTCACCGCCATGGCAGAGGCGATCGAGTTTGTTGATCCAGCTTTCAGCAGTGGCTTCGACGCTGAACATGTAAAAGACGCGGCGGGTGGTGCGAATGCCAAAGGCGTTGTGATCGGAGGCTTGTGGGGGCCAATCGATGTTTTGCAAGAGGCTTCGTTCCTGCGCCATGTAGGCGGAGCTGTTTGCTTTTGAGAGAATCTCGACGACGTCGCGCTGTAGGTGGATCTCACCCTGGGGCTTCATGTCACGGAGGTTGGTGCCCAGGGTGGGGCTGGTTTTGTAGTAGCGGAGAACGTGGTCACCAAAGACGGCGCAGTAGCGTTCGCGCCAGGTGCGGACCTGGGCACCTAGCTTACAGACGGCACCGGAGAGCAGGATCTCCCCCGAGTATGGGGTTCGAGCTTGGTCTGCCGTGCCATCCTTGACGGCCTCGAGCATGGCCCGAGTCAAGTCGGTCATGATGCGTGGGAGTCGACGGCAACAAGCGGCGTGTGCGGCAGTGGCAGTCGTAGGAGCGGAGGGCAGTCTGTTAGAGATGGCGAGGCAGAGCGAGGCAGAGCGAGGCGTCTTGTTGTTGTTGTTGTTGTTGTTGTTGTTGTTGTTGTTGTTGTTGGTGGTGGTGGTGGTGGGCTAATGATACCGGGGTCGTCGCTGTTGGCTGTTGTTGATGTTGATGTTGCAGATCAAAGGCGCGCGCCGCTCGGACCGACGCTCGGATCACAGGGCAGGCGGGGAATGATTCCTGCAAGTAGCCACGATCTTGGGCAAGTGGTCGGTTGGGGATGATGCTGCTGCCCAGTGCCAATCAACAACGGAATCCACCCCAGGACACGTACCGATCCGTGTGCGAATCACACCGTACACACGCACGCACGCACGCACTCACAGAGCCCGTACACGGACACAGGTCGCACGCCCGTTCACCGAGTTGTGTCTTTCCAGTCCCTCCTCCTCCTTCTCCTCCTTGCCAAAAAAAATCAAAAAATAAAATAAAACACCACAACCCTTTTCTCTCTCTCTCTCTCTCTCTCTCTTTGTTTATGCCTTTCACTTTCTCTCTTTCTCTCTTTCTCTCTTTCTCTGTGTGTGTGTGTGTGTGTGTGTGTGTGTGTGTGTGTGTGTGTGTGTGTGTGTGTGTGTGTGTGTGTGTGTGTGTGTTGTGCCGATCAGCAAATTCGCACATGACATGTCTTCACTGTTTTACACTTGTGTGAAAGGATGAGTAAGGTTAGGGGGATGAAAGTTGTGTGTGTGTGTGTGTGTGTGGGCTGCTGCTGTGGTAGTTTGCCCTTCCATGGTACTTTTCTTGTTATAACGAGTTGTTGTCGTCGGAGGCAGCAAGCTTGAGCATAAGAAGTAAGCCTGTGACTTGGAGCCGCACTCGTGTCGAGGGGTCATTCGCCAATTGTCCCACCGAGGATCATCTGCCCTCTATGATTGGGGGAGCAGGGTGCACGGGGCACAGGCAGGTGTACTCCTCACCTCCATGGTGACATGTGATCTAAAGATTTTTTCCAGCCTCGGCACTGAACTCGGTAGTAAGCCGTAAGCACAGTAAGCCGTAAGCACAGTAAGCAGAAAACGCAGTCAGCAGAAAACGCAGTCAGCAGTAAGCAGTAAGCCTGAAGCGCCGTCAGCCGTAAGCAGCAGCATTTTGTCAGATTTTTATCGCTACGGTTACAAACCGTTTTTTTTTTTCACCTCCTCAGGCAACGGCAGCGGGGAAGATCAGCCAGCACCATGTTGCGGCAGAAGCGGTTGGCCAAGGAGTATGCCATGTTGCAGCAGGACCCGCCACCAGGGGTTCTGGTTTGGACAACTGGTCAGGTTGATACAGAGGCTCGGTCGACGGCAACGGGCGGCGATGGTAGCCACAGCACGGCCCCTGCCGAGCGTCTGGATCAGCTCACGGCTCAGATCACGGGACCGGCAGATTCTCCCTATCGCAATGGCGTCTTCAAGCTCGAGATCAAGGTTCCAGACATGTACCCCTTGCAGCCACCACAAGTCCGCTTTCTCACCCGGGTCTACCACCCCAACATTGACCGCGCCGGTCGCATCTGCCTCGATCTGCTCAAGATGCCGCCCAAGGGTTCCTGGGGTCCGGCCAGCAACCTCGCCACCCTCCTCACCTCCCTCCGCGTCCTCCTTGACAAGCCCAACCCTGATGATGGACTCATGGCTGACATATCCGTAGGTCCCCCCCCCCCCCCCCCTCTCTCTCTCTTTGCCCGTGCACTCGCCCACTCACCCACTCACGAACCACCAATGCTGATGGCCGACCCGTCGCTTCTAGGCTCAATATAAATCAGATTACGATGCCTACGCGCAGGAAGCTAGCCGTCAAACCCAGCTCTATGCCACTCAGGTCAGGCCGCACAAGCATTGCCACAGACGCTCATGCTTCAATTGCACATGGTCGACACACAAGGCGAAAACTCGGGCCAAATACAACAAATGCAACGCGCATGGCAAGGCGCGCCACACTGCCGAGCTTGGCTCACCGCCAACATCACCCTGAAAAAAAAAAAAAAGGGGGGGGCCGACTTGGGCTCCATCAACTCTGAAAGGAAGAAACAATAAAAAAGAATCACGCATTGCCATCACGATACACCGCGATGAAATAAATACATGCCCAACTAATCTTCGCCGGCCGCTTTGGTGTGCTTAGAACGCCGCCGCCGCTGCCGAGACCCCGGCGCCCACACCAGCAGAAACAGAGGCCAAGCGACCCAAAACGACGTCCGCTGACGCTCAATAGCAACGGCGTGGCACATTCACCTCAGCATCAGCATCGCGCAGAAATGTGCGAGCCGTTCATATCTGCAGCAGCGTCGGCACGAGCTCGAGCGCGCCGGCTCTCACTCCCCTTGTCCTGCCCGCCCAAGAGTCGGCTCAGACGTTTGAGCGCCGTCACATAATATGCATTGAGTTGCATGGCCGCCAAGCGCGCCTGGTGCACCGCCTTCTCCCGTGCAAAGTTCTCCGCGTGTGTATGCAAATCTTGCATGAAATCACGCAATTGCTGCTGCATCTGCGCGCGCACCTGGTCCCTTATCCGCGCCTATCCACCGCAAGGAACATGATCAGACCACCACCTCAAGGCCCTTCCACAATGATATGGAGAGAAAGAATAAACAAGGCGAGGACGACATACCTGTGCATCGGCACCGTATGGTCGATTTTCCTCGGCCACATCTCCGTGGGATACTGCGTGGTCTTGGCCCTGTCCTTGTCGTCGCGGAGATGCTTGTTGGTCGCGTGTAGATACCGAATCGTTGGCGTTGGCCGCCTTTGTGGCTGTATCATCCGCTTTGTGATCTGCTCCTGTGGGGCTTGGAGACGTCGTTTGAACCGGCGCGGGTTCACCCTGGCCCAATTGCATGCCTTTGACCTTGGCTGACCGCAATTGCTGCTCACTGGCCTCCCTACACAAACATAACACAAGTTAGTCAGTGTCATGACCAAAGTACCAGAGACCATGCGCCGCGCCGAAGCAAAGGTCCATACCTTTGCGCTTGCGCTGCTAGATGCTCGGCACCCAACGCCTCTAAGCGCTCTGCACATGACCTGCCGCCCCAGCAACAATTGCGTCAGATGATACACACCCTCCCACAGAATGGCCACGAGGCCCTGCGCCCTGTGCCCTGTGTATAAACTCAGATACTTCGGATATACGTCCCATCCCACGCTGGATCATACCGCTCCAAGTCTTGCATGGCCCGTTGAGCTTCCCGCCATTCGCGACGTCGACGCTCCTCCGAAGCTTGATAAGCTTTGACCCGCTGCTTGAGCACATCAACCACCCGACGGCACGCCGTCACCGCGGACTGCTTTGCTGCTTGTTGTGCACGCGCCACGCGCGCTTCCACGTCCGCCTGCCCCTGCGTCAAGCGTTCTTGTGCCTCGTTCGCCTCCAGCTCCAGCGCTTGGATTCGCGTACGCAACGTGTAGGTTGTGGCCTGGGCTTGTGCTGTCTAGATCAAGGCGCCACCACGCACATGAGCACCAGCGCGAAGCAAAAGCCGTCAGGCACAGGTTGAGCGGGGGAATCCAACCACTAACCTCGAGGTGTGCAGCCGTCAATCGATCCTCAGTTTCAGAAATTTGCCCGTGCAGTGCTTCGATTTCCTGCTGTCCCGCCTGAAGTTCACGGCTCAGGAGATTGATCACAAAAGCCTCCTCCTCCTCGTCTTCGTGGGCCTCATCACCCCCGTCACCCAGAAGAGACTCAAACGTCTTGCTACTATCCAGCCCCGTGTGCCCCGTCGGCCCGCCTTTGCTCTTGGCATGTTGGGCAAAGTAGTGGCAAACGTGGACCAGGTCGATCCTGTGTTGGCGAGCTGCAGCCACCAACTCGCGGGACAAATGATCCACCTTCTCCAATGCTTGGCCCAATGCCTGCTGCATGGTGTTTGGCGTGCCATCTGACTTCTCGGTCGCAGCATCGGCGGGCGCACCAAGTTGGAGACGCTGTGCCTCTACCATCTGTTCCAAGGCAGCACAACGCTCTTGAAGCGCATTCCCCTAAAATCAAATGCAAGCGGCAGGTCAATATGGATCAAGGGTTGATGTTTGCCGGGATCTCGATCAGAAGTAAGGAAGGAACGGGAAAAGGGGAGGGCTCAACGGAAGGCATTCTTGCCTGGCATGCGACATACCTCCTGAACTTTGAGATCCACGTCGGCATCGGTCAGAAGATCATCGAGCTCTTGATTTGATAGTTGTGTGGTCGGTCCGACGGACTGCGACTGGGCTTCAACGTGAACTGGTGTGGGCTCGGACACGTCTGCAGCAGACACGTGCAGGGTGTCCTGGTCCACACGGCGCTGGAGCTCATCCAACCGCTCAAATAGAAAGCGTGTTTCTGAGGCATGCAACTCCTGCTGAGCTGCTAGCTGCTGGGCATGCTGCTGTTGCAAAGCCTGAAGCCGCCGATCGTATTCGCCTGCCAGGTCGTAATTAGAGCCAGGATCTGGCGGGTGGGCGCTTAGAACGGCCACCTGGTCACGCAGACCAATAACCTCTGCCTCGAGCAGTCCACATTGGTGTTTGGCAGCGCGGGCTGCCCCTTCTGCCTCCCGAGCCCGGCTCTCGAGTGTGTCCTGCCAAAGTTCGAGGTTTCGCTGGCGCTCCACGGCACGAGCCATGTCCTGTTCAGTCAGTTGGTGGCGTTCATTAGCAGCCTCTAGGCGAGCTTCACTTTGCCGAAGCTGATTCTCGTAGGCCGCCTGTTGCTCATGAAGAAGACGCAAGAGCTGCTCCACCTTGCGTTGGCTTGCATTATAAAGGATGGTCAACTGCGTGTGCGATAGGTGTGCCTCTTCAAACGGAGCAGTCTCGTTCTGAGCCATCGCCTCGTCCTCGGAGCTAGCCGGCCCGGGAGCTGCATTTGCCCTCGGTACAGTCCGACTCAAGGGCATGACACCTCGAGGCCAAGCCTCATCCTCTTCTTCCTCGCCATTGGCCACATGCGCTGATCGTCCAGCCGGAGAGCCCGCCACGACGTGTCCATCCAGGCTGTTGGTGTCAGCTTCTCCTTGTGCCGAGGCACTGGCATCCTCGGTGAGGGAGGCGAAGAGGTCATCAGGTAGGGCATTGAGGGCATCAGCCAACTCAGTCAGGAGCTCCTCGTGATCCTCTTCCTCCTCCTCCCCAACACTCCAATCCTCGGCCGCTGGCGCCAGCTCCACATCAGCCATCTTGCCGGCACTTTTTCTAACGCCGTGTGCGCACTTGTGTCAGCACTTCTCAAAACCAACGTGGACCATGAATGATTGAATCCCCTTCTTCCTCCTCTCCGCTATCCACGCTGCGCTCACCGCTACCCACCCACGTTTGGCCCGCAAAGGTCTGACACGCCAAATGCAAAACGTGGGCTGCCCGATCAGCCTCCCCCTCCCTCCCAAAAAAAAATTGAAAAAAAAAAAAAAGTCGCAGACGCCTTGAAAGAGAAAAAAAAAAAAAAAACGGTCGCTGTGTGTGTGCGGGGTGGCCATCAATTGTCAGATAAAATCGGCCAAGTCGCCGAGCGGTGTCTGATGTTTTTTGTATTGGTCAATGAAAGAAAATCTACTGCAAAGTTATAGAGAAAGGTGGCAAAGTCCTGGTGCCGCAGTGATCTTTTTTTCAAATTGGATTTTTCACCAAAACTGCGGACACCAATATGCGAAACACACACACACACACACACACACAAAGTTTATGGAACGATCTTGAGCAGCACCGCTCGCTGTTGGTCGTTTGCCAGAGCTCGTTGAACTGGACTATGGCCATGGGTTGGAGTTGAGGAGACAATGGTGGTCGTTGTGGCGTGGCCTGTAGCGTGGTGGCGTCGGAACGGTACACCTGCTGGCATTGGTAGGTGCGCATTTTCTTCCTCGAGTCTGGTTCGCAGATTGCACTGCCGCCCCCAGCTCCACGCGTGCCAACCTCAGACTTGTTGAACCGCCATTATGGCGACACATCAACGCAGACCGTGCCCTTGGCTTCTTGTCTGGGCCTTGGCCCTGTCTTGCACGCTGCCCATCATCGGTACGCCCCAACTTGACGAGAACCCGCGTCCTTTTGATTGGCGCGCTGCCCACATACCCCGCCTCATCGCTCGGCACTGCCTCCTCTCCCTTCGTAGATGGGCTTCGCCTGCGCTTTGATCCCACGCACAGCCCACCCTCTGAAGCAGAAGCTTTGGCAGACCCGGAACGATATCGTGCCTACAATCGTGCCGTCCTCTCTCGGAATCTCAAACCCCTTCGGGTTCGAATCGAGGATGACAGCGGGAACCTAGTAACCACTGGCCCCGATTCTGAGTTGGTGTTGCAATTCACATCAGCGGCCTATTACCCAACCTATGGACCCCTACCCGATGAAGTGGCCGCCGTTGCCAACCTCACCGCCCTTGGCAAGGAGCGCCTTTTCAAGCGCGTCACCGGCGCCCAGCACACCTTTGACCTCGTCGAGCACAGCAGCATGATTGATAGCGCCGTCTCCGTACGTTGTCCTCCGCTTGTCCCGCACCTGATGCGCCCGCTTTTCCTTCTTTGCCGATGCTTTTGATGCTGCTAAATTTGTCAACTCACGGTGCCGCGGCCATCGCGCACGTACCGCCCCAACACACTTGCGTCAGATTCAAGCCCGCGCAGGAATTGCAGAGCTCTATAGCTGGGCCTCGGTGCCCACTGTCTACGTCTCAAACGAGACAACCAATTTCCCTTTCGTGGCAGGAGCCCCCGTCCTGCTGAACGGCGTCTGCTGCAAGAACATTTGGGAGGTTGTGCCCTCAAACTTGCTCAAGGCCTCGGCCATCCAGTCAAACCCGTATCACGTCTTTCGTACGTCAAAGTCCCAATCACGCGACAAGATGATTCCACATTCTTTGACCAGACCTCCCAAAAAAAAAAAATAAAATAAAAAAATAAACATCACCTTTCCACATTGACTTAACTTTGATCATCTGTGTTTATCGACAGCACGAGCCGAATTCCTGGCCCTGGCTTCGCCAATGCCAGCACGCGTGCTCACGGACGAGGTGTTGCCAGATATCGAGGTCCGCGTGATGACCTATGATTACGTCAACCGCGACGCCCTGGATCAGCCGCGCCCCATGCCTTTGCTCCATGGACCTGATGTTGACATGCTCGACATTCAACTCACCATTGCCTATGTAAGCCAGATTGCTTTTTTTTTTTCACCCACGGCCTGCCATTTGCTTGACCACTGTTGACATGCCATGCCCGGTGCTTTGCCAGGAGCACAAAGTATTTGCCGCCACCTCGCCCAATGCCAGCAGCATTAATGTGGAGGGCATGGACATCTCGCCTCTCTTTTACTCTGCCTTTGATCTCTACGGCGACGGCGTGGCCCAAACTGCTCGAGACGATTGGGCCGTACGTCAGCGCGTCTCGCTTCTACCGAGTGGCCACTATGGCGTCATCTTTCGGGGCATCCACTTTAAGCAGCTGGCTGCGACCGGCATTCGGCTTAACATTACCATGTCGCACATCGGTGGCCGAGACTTTTTCAACGATATTAATCGCGGCTTCTCCAGAGCTGCCGCCTTCACGCGGGCGGGCCTGGGCATGTATGAGCTCCAAAACCTCACCAGCAAGCAACTTTGGAACGAACGCGATCCCCATCCCCTGACCCCAAAATGGGATTACTTGGCCATTCAAGACCTACACCCCAAAATATACCAGGGCTATGAGACAAACTTGGTTCGCCTCAGCCATGCCGTGGCTCCAAACGGCTTTGCCTGCACCAATCTGACAGAGCCACGGCGACAAGCCTGGTGCCAACAATCCGCCCTCACCGTGGACCCCGCCATGGCGGCTGGGCCGGGCGTACTCATCACCAGCCCCATTCTTGTCGAAGGTAACCCCTCTCTGCCATCGATGGCCCATCCCACCGCGTGGACCATACCTCACCCATCGCGCAATTGGCCGCTCGCACCCTCAGTCAAAGTCTCTCAACAACATCGCTTTGTTGTTGCTGCCAATAGGTCGCTCGTTGGATCACCTGTCCATCACGTGGGCTCGACAAGCTACCGACCCCCCCGAAGTCCAAACGCAAGAGCTATTCGACGATTTGTTGGTGCAAGCTTATGATGCTGACGGCAAGCAAATTGTGGCTGGGCCCCACGCCAGCCTTGTGGTCGACGTGGCAGCCTATGAGCTCAACTCTGACAACGTCTCAGACATCAAAGGGTCAGCCGCCATTTGCAATGCGTGGGAAAGTTTTGCACTGCCACTCGCCAACGGCGAGGCTCGCTTTCCCTATGGTATCTGCGGCCTCTACCCTTGGGTGGCCCTTCGCTTCGCTGTCACGGCCGGCAACATAACGTCCGCTGTCTGGACGCAGCCCTTTACCGTGAATGGTACGTCCTCGCTGAGGCACCGCCCGACCTCACCCCCCTGCCAGCCTTCGTCCCTTCTCCACCGGCGTTCACAAGCACCCCCTGCCTCACTCGCATCTGGTCTGTAAACTAGGCCTTTTACCAGTCGCGGTGATGTTACCCGAAGCCGACACTGCTTCGCCCTATGAACTGCCCTATCGAGCATACAAAATGTTGATGGAGCAGCAAATTGTGGGCGTGGCTGGCAATGGGCCTGATCCTCAAGAACTGGGTCCCTACTATCCCAACTGGCGCTACGTGCCCATCTACATTGACTCGCGAGGCGAACCCTTTGAAGTCATCCAACGCCTTGATAAATTGCATCAGCAACATCACTTTCGCTACGCCATTGGACCGTTTCGCGATGAGATTGGTACCAGTTTTGCGGAATGGGTATCCCATAACATCAGGGTGTGTACCGGATGCTCGTGCTCAATGCGTGTGTTCAAGACCTATTCACATGCTTTGACCAAAACTTACTCGGTGTCGGTTGCGTGTGTGCGCAGTCGCAGTTTGCGTTGTCGATTCGATCCAATCTCCAAGCACTAGGTGACGCTCAACGGTTCCCAAACATTTGGCGCATGGCCTTTGCCGATGAAATGTACTGGGTGACCCTGGTCGAGAGCATGGTCAATCGCAAGTGGTCTCTCGTGGTATGACGCCCGCTTCCTGCCTCAACCAACTCCGACCTTGCCCTTTGGCGCTCTTGCTCCCGCAGTTGGCGCTGGGCTGTCTGTAGCCCCACTACCCAAATAACGACCGTAACTCATCAAAACATGCCCATGTCATGATGCGCGTGGGTCATAGACACTGGTGCAATCTGTGAGCGCGCCATTTCCAAACGACTTTCTGGACCTTCTCCGCCTCAATGGGATACAGATTCTGCTTAATGTACGACCACAGCAAACGACAGTTTGCTTGACGCCGATGCCTTGCCCTTCCCAGACTATCTGGGCATGTGCTTTCTCTCGCAACACCTCATTCGATTGCTGGGCTTTCTGCTTTGCTTCGTGCGTGTTAGGTCCAGATCAATTCGGAGGATAGCAGCGCTGAGCTGCTCAGCCAGCTCGAGACGATTCATCACGCAGCCGGACGTGTGATCCTCGCAAACCTTGATGCAAACGATGCCACCCGTGTGTTCACCCAAGCCGTCATGTCGAATGTCACCGCCCAAGCGGGGTATCAATGGGTAGGCACTGAGACAACGTTCCGTGCCCTGGATCTCCTGCAAGTGCCCGATGCTGCCACAGCGTTTGAGGGGGCTTGCTTCTTGACGGCTATGTATGGCTTGGGCCCCGCAGCCAACTCGCGCCAGGTCGGTGCCGTCAGTGACTGGCAATTGCGCCGGAATCTTGGTGGCCTCGATCCCTTTTGGGTGCGCGACGAGGATTTTCGCCTCGAGGAGGCCAACATGTGGCAGTTTGGTGAAGCCATGCTGGCCAACGACGTTTTTTTCTTCGTTGGCTTTGCCCATGCTGCAATGCTAAACAATGGCTTGACGGGCACGACCGAATTTGTCAACGGCTTGCACAGCTACGTGGAGGACCTGGCTCTGTACTCTGGCTCCGACGTGAACTTCAACGTCAATTGCGATCGGATTGGCTTTGTCGGTGTCTGGGCCCAACCCAAGGCAAGCTTTCGAGTTGATGACAATGCTTCGAGTGAGTTTGTGCCCTGGGACATCCGCGGTGCCGTGGAGAAGGCCGATGTCGACGAGCCCTTGATCGAGCTGGACTTTATCGACCCCCGTACGCTCGTAACGGCTCCATCGCTATCCTATGCTGCTAGCGTCACCCAGACTACGGCACGTGTGCGCACCAAGGCACGGCTTTCCAAGTCCGAAGTCGTCTTTTATCGCGAGATTGTGGTCCCCGTGACGCACACCTGCGCCGGCGGTTGCGGTGGTGGCCTTCGCAATGCCAGTGTCTCTGCCTACATCTATGAACACGGTACCTGTGTGGCGCCGGAGCGGTGCGAGTGCATCATGCGCGCAGACGAGCCGGAGAAACCAGCCTTCTTTGGCACCACTTGTGCATCGGCACTCTGCGACCATTCGTGTCGCAATGGCATATGCCTGTACGACGCAGTTCAGGGAGAGACCGCCTGCAACTGCGAGGCGGGCTGGGGTGGTGACGACTGCAGCGTGGCCCAGTGCGCGCAGTTTGGCTGTGTGCAAGCACAGGGCGACTGCGAATTACCCGACGTCTGTGTGTGTCGCGAAGGCTTTTTTGGTGCCGATTGCGGTGAGGCGTGTCTCTGCGGACACGGCGAGTGCCATGACGGCAACCGTGGCACGGGCACCTGTACGTGTGAGGCTGGATACTTTGGCGTGGACTGTGCCCGAGCCTGCACATGTGTCCACGGCATGTGCAATGATGGTGCCTCAGGCAATGGCATGTGTGCGTCGTGCTCCTCTGGCTGGATGGGAGAGAACTGCGATTTGCAAGTCGCAGCCGTGGCCGTACCCATTTTACTGGGCGCTGGATCTCTCTGCATTGGCCTCTTGCTCTTGGGACGTTGGTATGTGCGGATGGCTAAGCACCGTGCGTTGCTCGATGACATGGACTGGGTCGTTCCTTGGGATGATGTGCAAACCTCCGAGACCCGTGACAACGAGTCATCATCGCAGCGACACAAGTCGGTGCAGTTCCAGAGTGCCCTCTCTTTGGGTACACAAGGCAGTCGACAGCTGGCACTCTCCGATCGAGTCGCTCGATATCGAGGGGCGCTGGTGCAGTTGGAGCCGATCTACTGCAAGTCCATGGAGGTGAACATGGGGCTGCGACGTGACATTCGGGCGCTCCGGGAGGCACACCATCCCAATTTGATGAGCTTTGTGGGCATGTGCGTACAGGCACCACACACGGCCCTGCTGTTTGAGTATTGTCAAAAGGGATCGCTCGAGGACATGCTTGCCCATGAGGATGTGCGATTGGACGAGACCTTCAAGTTCAGCATGCTCAAGGATATTGCGGCAGGGCTCCGCTATCTGCACCAGTCAGAGTTGCGCTACCATGGCAAGCTCTGCTCGCGCAATTGCTACATTGACAATCGCTGGACGGTCAAGCTCAGTGGTAAGCCCGTGCGGAGAAAGCCGCCACGATTTCTGGATACCCGCTCATCATGTTGTGCTTGATCAGGATTTGGAATGCAGCAGGCGCTGGCCCACCAGAATGCCGTTTGTCCAGAAAACAACATGCTTGACTTTCCCAGCTTGCGGTGGACCGCGCCGGAGCTCTTGATTCCGGGCCTGACGCGACTGAATGATTTGCTCTACGGCTCTCAGGCGGGTGATATCTTCAGGTTAGCCCTCGATATCTGTGGAAGTGGCTTCTCGCTTCAGAGACAGTGATAGGCCTCAACTCGCAAATCCGCTCAATATGACGTTGTTGCATAGCTTTGGTGTCCTCATGTCGGAGGTGTGGACGCGCGAGCAGCCCTACGATGATTCGACGCTGTCGGGCCAGGAGATTATTGCTCAGCTCGGAGGCTTTTCCGCACAAAGTCGCATAGGGGTGAGTTTGGCTACGCAAAATGGCGCAAGGATTGTGTGCGGCTGCGTGGCTTCCCATCTCGTTCCTGACGACCCTGTGTGCATGTAGACGGCCGTGATCAAGCAGGCGTGGGCAGTGAAAGATGGCATGAGCGGCGAGTCGAGGACTGATGAGCTGCGCCCGACTATTTACGCGGGTACCCCGCAGCCTTTGGGGGCCTTGATGCGGCGCTGCTGGGCCCAGAATGCAGAGGAACGCCCGGCCCTGAAAGGTGGGTGGGGCTAGCGTGCTTTTTCTGGAGGCCGTTTCCCGACCCGCGGGCGCTAGGTTCACGTTGCTCTGACATGTGGGGCGTAGACGTGATGCGAGATTTAGCTGTTATCCATCCAGTCAAAGGCTCGATGGTGGACAATTTGGTGCGCATGGTAGGTTTTCGCGCCGTGCAGCTTGCGTGTTTTGTGTATTGATGTTTGCGGAGTACATCCCATTGGCAACTTCTGACTGCCTATCGCTGGTGCAGCTGGAAAAGTACTCGCAGGACCTCGAGGGCATTGTGTCTGAGCGCACTGCTGAGCTGGCGCAAGAGAAGGAAAAGGTGGAAACGCTGGTACATCGCATGCTGCCCAAAGCCATCGTAGAGAAGCTCAAGGATGGCCAGGGCGTCAAGGCTGAGAGCTTTGATGAAGTGACCATCTTTTTCTCAGGTAGGTTTGAAATTTGTCTTCTCCCTGCAACAACTGGCTGCAATGCGTAGGGACGCCACTTGACGGTTACCGTGATGGAATGCGGCTAGACATTGTGGGCTTTACGCGCATCTGCTCCATGTCAACCCCACTGCAAGTGGTGGACATGCTCAACGACCTGTACACGTGCTTTGATGCCATCATCGATGAGTATGACGTGTACAAGGTGGAAACAATCGGGGTAGGTGAAGCTGTGGCCCACGCCTGGGGTGGGCAGACTTGGTGCTCATGCTGTGCTCATGGTGGGCCTATTTGTCATGCAATACAGGATGCGTACATGGTGGTGAGCGGGCTGCCGACGCGAAATGGCAAGAAGCATGCAGGCGAGATTGCAAGCATGGCGCTACACATGTTGAGCGAGATTGTCAACTTTCGAATCCGGCACTTGCCTCTCGAGCGGCTTCAGCTTCGAGTGGGACTGCACAGTGGTCAGTCACGGAACATGGCTCGCCGTTGTACTCTTTTGCTCTGGCGGCCTCGTGATGTTGAAAGCGAGGTGTTTGCTTGGTGTTTGGTGGGAGTATGACCTGGCATGACACGCATGCCACAGTACCCTGACCTTGTCTGTGTGCTCCCTTCAACAGGACCCGTGGTGGCGGGGGTGGTCGGTACTAAGATGCCTCGTTACTGTCTTTTTGGCGACACTGGTAAGTCAGCCCGAGGGAGAGACGATGCCCAAGTCAACATTTCTAAGAATCTCTTTTTGCCTCACATTGCCTGTGACTGTTCATCCATATTTGCAGTCAACATTGCATCACGAATGGAGTCGGGTGGCTTTGCCTTGCGTGTGCACTTGAGCGACACCACGGCGCAGCTGCTCAAAGAGCTGGGGGGATATGATTTGGAGCTGCGCGGTCAACGAGAGGTCAAAGGACGGGGGCAGATGTGCACCTATTGGCTCAACGGAAAGCAGGGTTTTAACCGACCCTTGCCCTCTGCCGACATGCGAGTGAGCGCCTCACAGCATGAATTCAAGTAGAATGGATAGAAAGCCACGATTCATGCGAAACCTGTGGTTGAACAGGCCCCAAAGCGCGATACACCTATGGTCCCCTGTGAATTATTGTAGTTTTGCCGTGTTTTCGCATGAATTTTAATCGTGAAATTGTGGAGTTGGCAATTGATTGTGAAGACTTGGGACGTTGATGATGGATGATGGATGATGGGCTCAACGGGCGAGGGCTTTGGGCCCCGGACCTTTGGGCATTCGTCTAGATTGTGTCTCGTGCGAGTGCATAAACCACAGCACGGCGACGGACTTTAATAATGATGATGCTGGAATACATCTTCATACATTTTTTCTATAAATGAAAGACGCCATAACAAGATGTAATGGGGGAGAGCAACTGAAGTAGGATGACAAAGGTCGCGGAGCGGGGACACCGACGGCGGTCAGTATCAAGTCCGTCCACCAGCCATCGGCACACATGCCATGGGGGCGCCAATCAGGGCGGGATCGGGTCCACCATGGCCATCTCTCGAGTTGCCGCACCCCCTCGAGCCAGCACGAGCTGTCGACACCGCGAGCTCGTTGGGATTGTCATGCAAACGTACAATTGCAACAAATGTTCTGAACAGTATCCTGATTTGGCCCCTTACTGAAAAGAAGCAGGGAGAGAAAGAGAGCGGGAGTGCGAAATTTCAGGGGGAGGGGCGTGATGACTTTGAATGTCAGAGAGGGGATGTGAGAAGAAAAGTTTGCAAGTGTAAATGATAAGCCAGTTCAGAGAGTGGGACAAAGAGCACGCGAGACTCACGACTACATGAAACGAAATCACTTTTTCCTCAATTTTTATTTTTTTATTTTTCACGTTTTGCCGGTTTGTGTGTGTGTGTGTGTGTCGCGCGTTGGCAGCGGGGGCGGGGCAAGGAGGCAGTGAGGGAGAAGATGAGGTGCAGGCTGCTGCTGCTGGTGGTGGTGGTGGCGGCGGTGTTGTGTATGTATGTATGTGTGTGTGTGTGCGGTTCTGTCGTTTACTGATGTGGTTGTGCTTGAAGAGACCACTGCCTGGAAGCTGGGTTGTGGGTCAAGACCCTGCATGGCTCTCTCTTTGTTTGCGATCCCAGCGCGCCTCGCAAATTTTTTTTTTTTTATAAAAAATCTGCGAGGCATCGGCTCTGTTCTCACGGTGTGGCATGGGGTTTCGATGCGCGGCGGTTCTTGAATGATCATAGGCCTTTGTCGTGGATCGCCCATCCCTCGCTTGGGCGCTTGCAAGACTCGGCGGCACGGCTGCAACCTCTTTCAAGTTTTTTTTTTTTTTTTAATCGCTTGTTAAATCAGCAGGCAGCGCGAACCGATAGGGATACCACGCGGGCATGGCCGCGCGATGCAGTCGGTGCCGTTGATGTTGACCCACTGTCAGGCACATTGTATCACAGGCCATTTTCCTCGCTTGTGACGCATGCCAGGCCTCCCGCATCGTCGGCGGTTTGAACACAAAACTCGCTAGTCTAAACTCCCCCGACTTGGACTCCACCGCATCGCGGCCCCATCATCATGCCAGACCCAACGGGGACTGGCGAGGACGAGAATGTCCAGGTAGCCGTTCGCGTGCGCCCCCTTAGCGCCGACGAGCTTACCAAGGGCTGTAAACCCGTGGTCCACAAATCCCCGGATGCACCCCACATTTCTCTTCGTGACCATCACCAGTTCACCTTCGACCAGGTTCGCACCGCTTGACGGGACGGGTGGCTTCTTCTTCTTTCCGGGCACCCAGCTTGGCGGATTCCCTCTACAGCGGCCAAGGCCAGCGCTAGGATTGGTCCTCCTCGCCTTGCCTCATTCTCGACGTCCATCCTGCCAGGTGTTTCCACCCCACACACACCAGTCGGATGTCTTTACAGAATGCGTCAAGCCATTGGTTGACGGTGTCGTCAACGGTCGCAATGCGACTGTTCTCGCTTATGGCCAAGTATGTCTCTACGAGCATGGATATCACTCTGCACGAGACAGCGCGTTTGCCATCTGCTCCATGCCAAGCCAGGCTGTCTCCTTTGATTTGGTTGGTTACCGCTCCTCACCATCTATTGTGCTCAGACGGGGTCGGGCAAGACGTATACCATGGGCACCGGCTATGGCCAAGGGACCCTCGAAAACCAGGGCATGCTCCCTCGAGCCACTCGCTATCTCTTTGACTACATTGCACGGGCGAAAAATGACGCGCTCTTACAGGTGCGCGCACCCAACCATCGCTCAGCTTTTTCGAATCCCCCCTCACTGACTAGCGCTGCTTTTTTTCTTTTCTTTTGTCCCTTTCTGCTCCTCCCAGGGCATTCCCGAACCTGAATTTCGCATCGAAGTTAGCTTTATTGAACTCTACAACAACAGCTTCTACGACCTCTTTGACGCGTATGACCCGACCCCCCGCTAATGTTGCCATCAGCAGGCCGGCACACCTGCCATCATGTTCATGCTCACTTCTCACCATCTCGCGCGTCGTACACCTCTATTCACATCCATCCGCAGTTCATCTGTGGATAAGAAAAAGTCCAAGATCAAGGTCGTAGGTGATGCCAGCCGAGGTGTTACCGTGCAAGGCGTGGTCCAATTTGCCGTCTCCAGCCCGTCAGAGATCATGGCGTACGTAGATGCCTCCCTGCACGGTTATCCGGCATGATCATTGCAGCTCACATGTTGGAACTCGAAAAAAACAAAAAAAAAAAAATAAAACAAACAAAACATTCTACAGACTTTTGGATCGCGGCTCATTGGCCCGCGTTACCGAGAGCACCAACATGAATCAATTTTCCTCTCGCTCGCATGCCATCTTCAGCCTTGAAGTCTCCCACCGCCGCGCCGTCGTGCCCGAGGTATGATTCTCATCCAGCTGCTGCGACGCATGCCTCCAGCTCTTTTCAGAGTCTTTGTCTTGTCACTCCGCCTCACCCTCAGCATCGTTCGAACACCATGACCACTTAGGCTCCAGAGCCCGAGATCAAGGCAAGCAACGACGAGGACGGTGCTGCAGTGTCTGAGACACCCGAATCTCCTAGTACACCAACTCCACCAGAAACAGACGAAGTTTCGACCGGAGAAAAACCCGTGGATCCCGCAGTGGCCAGCGAGATGGAGTTTATGACCACTGTCGCAAAATTCAACTTTGTTGATCTTGCGGTTCGTGCACGTGGCTTTTCCTCGGATGCGTCTTTTTTTAATCTTTCGTGTGACTTGGATCAAGGATGATGCCTGTTGCTCAAGTCGTGCCTCTTGGCCGGATGCAGGGATCGGAACGCGCCAAGCGCACTGGCGCGCAGGGCGCGCGTTTCCATGAGGGCATTGAGATCAACGCGGGTCTTCTGGCACTTGGTGAGGAATGGCGTTGAGGGCGCCCGGCTGCTTGGTACAGCTGGGCGCTGAACTTGGTTTTTTTTCTCTCTCTCTCTCTTTCTCTTTTTTGGTCATCTGCCCGCCCGCCGCATCGCTCTCGTTTTCGCCCTCTCCGGTCTTTCTTTTTGTCTTTGAACCAGAGCCGGCTCTCCTCACCAAGCTCGCCTTGGCCTCCGGTTAATCATCAGGCAACGTGATCAGCGCCCTGGGCGACCCCAAAAATCGTGGTGGTCACATTCCCTACCGAAGCCACAAGCTGACTCGAGTCCTCCAAGACTCGCTGGGCGGCAACAGCCGTACCCTTATGCTCGCTTGCATTTCACCTTCGGACGCCGACTTTGTCGAGACTTTAAATACCCTCAAATATGCCAACCGAGCACGTAACATCCAAAACAAGGTGGTCGTCAACCAAGATGCCGCCTCACGCGAAATCCAGTTTCTTCGCGAGACAATCAACAAGTTGCAACTCGAGCTCAATGATTTTCGTGCAGGCCGCACCCCAGTACGTAGCCTCTTGGACGCTTTGGCCGGTGGGGGCCAGCGATATTGTGATGTTGTGATGTTGTGATGTCCTGATGTGCCGCGGCGATGTCACCCTTGATAGCTCAACCCGGACTCACAAGAAGCACAGGACCTGTACAATGAGAACAACCTACTGCGCCAGCGCATCCAGCAGCTACAGCAGCAAATCAAACGCTTGGAGAGCGAGAAGAATGCGTTGCTGCGCCGCCAAAGCGAATTCTTGGCCGGCGCTGGTACTGAAACTGCCCTACTAGCTGACGCAGGTTCTGCACCTGCGATCGAGGGTAGCCCCGTACCAGCCGATGAGCTGGCTGAGCCCAAGACTCCCGAGCCACAATCGGAGGGCGTGCCAGCCATTACTTCCAGTGCCGATGGTCAAGAGGCACCCGTGGCCAAAAGCCAAAACGCCGAGGAGATTGCCAGGATCTTGTCGGAGAACGCTGCTCTTCAAGCCCGCGTAGTATGTCGGGTTCTGCTGACAATTTCCCCGCTTGTCTTTGCTATGTTCCAGCTATTCTTGCCTCAAACCCGAAAGCCCGACCAACGTCATGGTGTTCTCACCCGCATTCATGTTGTCCTGGCCTCGCTTACGCTTGAATTGTAGCAAGAGCTAGAAGCGGCTGCTCAGCGGGGTGGCGATTCGGCCGATGCTCTTGGCCCGCTGCGACCAGCAACGTCGGTGTCCTTTGCTGGCTGGGAGGATGAGTTGCATGGCGTCGAACAGGTGTGTTTGTCTTTTGGGCCACCCGCGATCTGTCGTGTCCGTCTTTTTTTTTGCGTTTTCTGCCACGTCGCCCGAGGCTCCCTGATGTGCAAAATGTCATCTCCGCACCACCAGATGATGGCGGCTGCACAAGACTTGGTGAAGCGGGTTGGCAGCGATGCCGGGTCGATAAAGCCGAGCAAAGCTCGGGGCAAGGCACCACGGGGCGACGACGACGGGCACCAATCCTCGGGCGGCGAGGATGTTGATGATGCTGAAGGTCTCGAGTCTCCTTCAACGCCGCGTCGCTGGGCGCGTAGCAAGTCAAGCAAGTCGAACAAATCAAGCGACAGCATGCCGGGCGAGGATGATGATGACACTGCAGCAGACGTGGAGTTTGATGGTGATGCCCAGAACATCAACGAAGACGGCGACGCTGACGGCGACGGCGACGAAGAGGACGGTGCTGAAAACGAAGAGGATGAGGATGGCACTCGCAATGTTGACATGGACGGCGAGGAGGCCGATGAAGACCACGATGACGACGACGACGACGTTCTTGACGGCGATGATGACAACGAGAATGATGTTGTTGACGAAGACGACGATGACGATGATGATGTTGAAGATCTCGACGCACGTCCTGTAGCGCAAAGACGGGTCTCCAACAACTTGCACGCGCAGCTGGTCAAGCAAATTTCGGATCAGATCAAGGCACAAGAATCCCTTTTACTGCGCTTGACTACGACCAACCGTGAGCTTGAATCACAACGCGTCTTGTATGAGCGACGACTGGCCCTCGTCGAGGACGAGAAGCAGAAGATTGCGGCGGATCGTGATCGCTTGCGTTCCGCATTGGCGGAAATCAGCGGTCAAAAAACCTCTCATGCGGACCAAATTCGCCGGGAGTATCAACGCCAGCTAGCCGAGCTGCAATCTCGTGCCCAGCGCATCGAGAAAGACAAGCTCGAGCAGCAACGTTTGGAGCAGAGTCGCAATCGGGCTGCAGCGCAGATCGACTCCCTGCGTACCAGCATTCAGACTGCCAAGCGTCAGCGCAAGGAAATGATCGAGCAAGCGCAGCAAGAAATGCGTCGTAACCGCGAGCAGGCTCGCGAGCATGAGCGTGAGATCAACCGCCTTCGTCGCGAGAATGCCAAGACCAAGACCGAAGCCAGCCGCTTGGAACGTTTGGTTACCAACAAAGACATTGCCCATGCACGTGCCCTTGAGGAGAACAAGCGCCTCAAGGCTCGCCTGCGCGACAATCAACCTGCCTCCCGCACCAAGCAGAGCCAGTCTTCACCGTGGCGCAACGTCAAGCGCAACGCAACCAAGCAGGTGACCAAAGACCCTGTGCGCGTCAAGCGAAAGAGTGACAAACTACACATGGAAGTCAAACGTGCGGTGCATTATCAAATGACGAAACGCCGCATTGAGAGCTTGGTGGCCAAACGTGAGCAAGAGCTCATGACGGAGCGCAAAGAGTATCAAGCACGCAAACAGGAGCTGGAAAGTGCTGGTGTCACCCCGGATGACCCTCGGATGCATGACATCAACGAAGAGCTTGAACGCATCGAGATGGAGGTGGACTACACCACCGACATGCTCAAGGATGAGCAGACAGAGTTGCTGACGCTTGAGGCCGCCGGCATTCGTGGGTGCTCGGATGTGGATGAGATCTCCGAGCAGGGCGCGAAACTGATGAGCGATACCACACCCTGGGAGAGCCGTGAGTTGCTGAAGCAATTTTTCACCATGCTGGTGCTCAATCAAATGGCCTCGGAACGCACTCGGCAGCGTGTCAAGGAACTTGAGCTTGAGACCGAGCATAAGGATGCCATCTTGCAGAGCCTGGCTGTTTCCAGCATGGCCGGAGGCCGTGTGACTGAATTGGCCAGCGATGAGGAGAGCAAAGCTACGGAACGTCCTCGTGCCACAACGGCACAGTCAGCACTGGCGCGTAACAACGTAGGGTCAGCTGCCGTCTCGACGGGGTTGCAAGCCGAATCCTCGCCATCAGTCACGACACCTGGTCCAAGCTCGCTCAACTCTAGCGCGGGGGCTGAGACGAGCACGCCCCAAAGTTCTGGCACGCCGCAGAGCACTCCGACGAGTGCCGATCAGGATGGGCTTTCTGATTCGGCCAAGAAGCGCCGCATTCCACGCTTCACCTTTAGGCGTCGCACAGCCTCTAGTGCAGCGTCAATTGCGCCAGGAACACCAGAAACCAAGCCATCAGACTTTTCCTCCAGCCTGCGCGGAAATAAGCCGGGGCGCAAGGTGGTTGAGGAGGTGGCAGATGCCATTGTTGCCGAGCGACGCATACCGCGTCGTGCTCAGTGGCTGACGCCGGTGGCCACCATCCAAGGACATAGTGATGAGGTTTTGTGCGTGGCTGCCCTCGATACCGTCGTTGTGACAGGCTCCAAGGATCGCACCATGCGCATCTGGGACTTGAACGCCGGCAAATTGGTGAAGAACTGCGGCAAGCACGAACACTATGTGCAAGCTGTGGCCCACATCCCCTCACAGATGTTTTCCGCCTCCAATAACGTGGTGCGCATCTGGGATGCGCGCACAGCGCACTCGGTCAACCGCTTCAGCATGCGCAAGCGCTCAGCAATTTCAGCCATGCAAGTGTCTTCCGATGGTTCCTTGCTCTACGTTGCAGCCGACAAGGTATGTCGAGTCGTGTTTTTGGTCGAGCGTGCATGTGTGTGGGTGGTTAGCGGCGTACATTTCTCATCTCTGTGCGTGTGTTCTGGCGATTAGTATCTACGCATCTGGGATCTGCGCATGAGCTCGGAGCTGGACGTCATTACGTTCCGTGGCAAGGTTGATGCCCTGGCGCTGAGCCCAACTGGTAGCTCGTTGGCCCTGAGCTGTCTCGATCACAAAGTCCGCATCTTTGACACACACGATCCCTTCAATCAAAAGCCGCAATTTCAGGTCAGTCACGTCGTCCTCCGTCTGGACGAACGGTTCGGTGCGGCGAGGGTCGAACAATGTGGCTCACCTGTGGAATCTCTGTTTCTCCGTCTTTCCATCTCTCCATCTCTCGATCTGTCTTTCTCTTTATCTCTCCCCATTTTCTTCCATAGGTGCTGGAACCACCACATTATTCTCGACTGCAGGCTTTGAGCTTTTGTGGGCCTCGAGTTTTGTACAGCGGCTCACATGATTGCAGGTCAGCCACGCACCGCACTGGGGAAATGGAGGCATGATACTCTGATTCTGCTTCATTATCGTGGCATAATTGTCTGGCTGCTGCGGTGCTTGTAGTATCAAAAAGTGGGGCGTCAAGGGCGATCAGTGGTATCACCAGCGCGCCACCACCGGGGCTTTTATTGGCAAGAACAGCGAGTCGATTGCCGTGTCGGCTTTGACGAGCCTGCCCCATATGGGGGCCATCGTGTCTGGCTCGGCCAAGGGTGGAATCAAGATGTGGGACGTCACCACGGGTGCAATGTTGGAGGAGCACAATATGCACTCGGACGCCATCCATGGTCTGGCCGCAACTAACCAGCACGTTCTTTCGGCCTCGGCTGATAAAACTGTCAAGGTGCGCAAGAAGAACCATTGCGCTGCTGTTCCTGTCATTCTTTGTTGTGCGTTCTGGTGTGTTCATGTGCTATTGTTTTGCGACCCCTCCCCGTTAGGTTTGGGCGTACACCGATGCGCGTGCGGCCAACGAGCAAGCAGCGCAAGCAGTGACCAATCAGCCGGTGATGGACATGCGCAATTCACCTACTTTCTCACGCGGTAACACCGTGGTATTGTCGTCGGAAGACGTGGGGCTGTTGCATACAGTTCCATCGGCACGATCGCTGGCACGGGGCATGGAGGATGACGACTACTCCTCGGACGATTCGAATCGTACCTACAGTGTGGATGACGAACAGGACCGAGCTGCGCGCATGGATGCGCTGGCGCCCATGCGACTGATGACGGGTCACAGCCGGGAGCACCGGTATGCGCCCGACGAGCAGGCCAAGAGCGTGTCACCTGATCCAACTGCGGGTCGACTGCGGCTCTCTGTGCACGAATCTTCCTTGTACAATCGCGGCTCGCGGCCAGGAAGTGCTCGCCGCAGTGAAGACGGACGTGACAATCGCTTCCGTGCATACAACACTGACACCGGGCCTCGGCGTTGGGAAGACGAGGCCGAGTACGGCCAGTCACCAATCCGACGCAGTGGCTCAGTACGAAGCCAGAGTCGCCTCCAGTCTTATGGCACCAATACCAGCACTGCCACAACGCACTACGAGCTGAGCTTGTAGTCTTGCCTTGTGAGTTGAGTGATGTCGCTGGACTTTTTCCCGCGCACCCACCGCCCGCTGCTCGTTGCTACCTATATTTGTGCCCAAATGCGCCGTGTTCCGTTGCGTGCTTGTCAGTGTTCCTACCTCAACATGCCGTTCTTTATGATTGGCCAATTATTAATTTCTTTCTTTTCCTCTACAGTTTCTGTTGGTATTAGCTTCATTGTCCCAGTGGTGTGCCAGCGAGGCTTTGCTGTCACATGGGATGGTTGACCCGCCATCTTGCCTAATCATTTTCTTCTTTCATTGGCATGTTCTTCTGTTTTTAAACCCATTTTGATGAGCCGACCGTAATCGAATGTTGGTCATGCTGAAGTGGAGGTCTTACTTGTCAGTCGCGCGTCACCCAAAAAGATGAATACAGCAAATTTACAATGAGAAGAGGTGAACAGCATGAAGCGAATAAAAAGAGAAAGAAATTGAAGACTGAGTGTGCTCAGCACCAGATCGATTGAAGAGGTCAAGCTGCAACGCCTCTGCTCGGCAGAGGTCCAATATGCTCAAGTCAATTTTATTGACTGATTTCATGGAATGGAGCACACATCTCTGGCCGCTGCAGCTTGTGACGGATTACAAAAGGTGACGCATAGTCACTAGTATTGTGACAATTCTGAGCGCGCCTCCAACACGGCCTGATTGCTCTGCCGCCAAGCATAGGCGCCATTTTTCCACAAACAGATGGTCTAGGCATGCAAATAAAAAGCGAGCAGGTTGACCAAAGGTGAGGCGGCGAGAGGAGGAGGAGAAGGAGGAGGAGGAGGGGGAGGAGAGCAAAGAGGGGAAGGGGGCATAGTCTAGACTCACGCCATCGGCCAGGCCAACGGCCAATGTGTGGGGGTTGACGACGAGCGATTGCACGGGGGAGCACTCGTGCTGTAAGTGTCCAATGCAAATTGCGGGCGCCGGATGCGCTGGGCGATCTGACCGACCACTTCTATGCCAAGGTCAATGGGCATTGCCCGCACAGGATGAGAAGTGACAGGGCAAAGGGGCAGCATAGGGCGCGTTGTTGATGCCATTTCGGAGCGAATGCGAGGGTGACGTACCCGACACGTGCACCCACGGCGGGAATTGCAACCTGGCCCTTCAGAGCAGCCATGTATGGGGATTGGAGGAGTTGTTCCGCACAGCGCACAGGATCATCGGGGTGTTGTGCGTCAGAGAAGAGATGAGCCACAGACCAGACCTTTATGGTGTCATCTGTACCTTGGGTCATGAGGACGCGACCGAGGGCCAGGGGATGAAGGGTTGTGATTTTGGCGTCCATGGCGTTTTTGAGTGTGAAAAGACAGGCGTGTGGCGCGGCAAGTTCGTAAACGCGGAGCTCTTTGACACAGGCGAGGGCAACAAGGTGGTTGCCTAGGCCAGCGATGGCGGTGACGGCAGTGGAGTTTGTCCGGCGTCCGTCCGACTCGACGATGGTAGTGGAGACGCGAAAGGTGGGGGACAAGCTGGTGCGGGAGAAGATGACAGCGCCGGTGTAGGTGCCGACGCCAAAGAGCTTGTCGTTGAGCACGTTCATAACGAGGGGCAGCTCTGAGGCGAGGGGTAAGCTGGTGGAGCCGGCGCGGCGACGATCAAACGAGTTGACCAGATCGGGTTGCACGTCGAAAATTTCGACGCTGGCGCTGGTCAGGGCAGCAATTTTGAACTCTGATATGATGAGGAGACGCTCGATTTCGGGCCGGTCATCCTCTTGGGCTTGGTAGCCATTTGCGCTGCCATGTGCACTGCTGCTGCTACTGTTGCTTCGGGTGAGGGGGATGGCTTGGCGGGGGTCCACCAGTACGGGCTCGCCTTGGTCGTCAACCACGGCGAATTGGCAGCCACCCAAGCAGATGGAAGCTGATCCAATGGCAACAGCGTGGTTGATGGCCCCGAGTTCATGTGGGCGGCACTGCAGAATGAGGACGGGCCAAGGGGCAAGAGCAAACAATGGTGAATAAAGCAGTGAAGATGGGCATGGAGCAACGGGGGGGCAAGGTTCAAACACGCACGAGGCGGAGCGTGTAGTCGTTGTTGTAGATGCGCAGCTTGCCGTCATGGGTGACAACGACGATGGAGCCATCTGTGCGCCCGTGTGGCATGAGGCAAAAAGAGGGCGAATCGTGAGGCAAGCAGCGTGAGGGTGTGGAGTTGCGGCAGCGGGATGGGTCAAGCGCACCGTGCGTCAAGCACATGGCCACGACATGGGCATGAAGCGGTTGGTATTGGTGAACGAGACGGCCTTCATCCGTGTTGTGAATCTGAATGTCACCTTGATCACTCGCGGAGATGATGGATTTGGGAGGCACGACCAGCATTGAGGCGATGGGTTCATCATGTGTCGCCACCAGTTGGAGGTGAGTAAAGGGATTAAGCTCGAGTCGAGGCGGGAGTTCTTCCTCTTCGGGCTTGCGTGCGCCTCCGATCCTTCGACGGAGGGACATCATCGTGCAAAGGTCGCGCCCCGCCTCGGCGGACTGTCCAAAAAAAGCAAAGGTCACTCGTGGATGCGCGTGCGGCAGAGAGCCGTGACCTTGTTGCCAAAAGACGACTCGAGCACAGAGCAGACTACCTCAGTCAACGCCGGAGTTGGCGGCCAAGGCAGAGACGGAAGTCGAGGAGGTAGAAGAACCCAGGCCGAAGAATGAAGAGGGTGGTCGTGGAGTAGGTGGAGGGGGCAGTCGTAGAGGAGGGTAGAAGAAGGAGGTAGAGGGGGTTTAGTAGAGGAGGGTAGTAGTCGAGGAGCAGGGTGGTAGTAGAAGGAGGTAGAGGTGGGTTAGTAGAGGAGGGAAGTAGTAGAATAAGGTAGAGGAGGAGGTGGAGGAGGAGGAGAAGGTAGAGCAGGGTAGAGGAGGGTAGTAGTCGAGGAGGAGGGTGGTAGTAGAAGGAGGTTGAGGTGGGGTAGTAGAGGAGGGTAGTAGGAGGAGGAGGTAGAGCAGGGTAGAGGAGGTAGAGGAGGTAGAGGAGGGCAGCAGTCAAAAAGGTAGAAGAGAGGAAGCAAAAAGAAAAAAGAAAAAAAAAAAAAAAGACAAAAAGCAAGATGTTGTGTTTGTCACAAGCAGTACACACACACACACACACACACACACACACACACACACACACACACACACACACACACAGAGACGTTATGATTATTTTGTTCAAGGGGGACGGGGACGAGCCAGAGGGGGATGGCGACGGGGGTGGGGGTGGTCGGTGTTGGGCAAGAGCGGGAGGAGAAGGAGGAGGAGAAGGAGGAGGAGCTGCTGCGTCGGGGGTTGTGGTTGATGTACGTGAGAGGGGTTGCGTGGCTTGTGGCATGCGCGTTGGGGTGGTGGGATGATGGTGAAAACCTCACAGAGTTGTTGTTGGTGCTGTGCATGGTCTGATGTGAGCAGATTGGAGGAGTATGAGGCTCAGAATGATGTGCTTCGCCAGCGCCTGACGCCAAGCACCAGGTGAGCTTGAAATGGCCATGATGAGACTTGACAGGAATGGAAATGGTTGTGGCGAGAGGACCGGGTTGCTGTTGTTGTTGCATCGATGCTCATTTTGGCCGTTGTTTGGCGTGCACTGACAGGTCCGAGTCGGTGCAAGACGTGCAGGCACAAGCTGCAGCGCTGAGGCAGGCCGTGGGCGCCCTTGACAGTCTACCGTCCACCAAGCTGGATGCGACCTTGCTGCGCCACCTTTTCGAAATGACCCAGGACGTGAAGGTCACGCGCAAAAAGCACACAAAGGCTCGCAATTCGCTACGATCGGTGCGATGCGCCCGTCAAAAGCATCTGGCCCTTTGTCGGGCAGAAAAGCAAGGGCGTCGGCCCAAATAGCACTGCTTCTCACACCTGGTGCATGGGCATGCTCTCGGCTTGATGGTGATGAAACCTCCACAGGTGGCACGGGACGAGTGGAACACGTGTGCTCGGCTCAAACAGCAGATAAGCGGTCAGTCAGTGCGCACAGTTCCTCCCAGCCGCTCGCACAGCGAGTAACATGGTTTCAAGCCCGCTTCAAGTACACACGTGCGCGAGGTTTCCACCCTGCTTCTTGCACTTTATTTGACAGTTTTCTTTGCTCCTTTGCTGTGGCACAGAGCTGGAGCGAGAGTTGAATGAGCTGCAGCCGCTCCAAGCATTTGCCCAGCTTCAGCCCCTGGAGGCCGAGCACGCACGCCTGGCACAACAAATCAAAGGTACGCGGGTGTTGCCAAGCGGCGAGGCGTCTGGAGTAAGCACAAAAGACATTGCCATCAAGCCGCTGGTCCTCGTCGATCAACTCATGGTGCGCTCTCTCTTTTTTTCCCCCCGTGTCACCTCGATCGACCAGTTGAGAGTGAGACACTAGATGAGCTCCAGGCTGAGTTGGAGGTGCTTTCCCGATCCCAGTCAAGGAGCCAAAGCCAAAACTGAGTTTTCAAATGGGTGGGCAACCCCTGCACACATGACCACAGCAGTTGCTGTTTCGACAGTCCATGCTAATACGAGTGTGGTGAATTGAATTAACCGATCCCGAGCTCAGATGGAGGATCAGATCAAAGATGTAAAAAAGCCAAGCCATACGTCCAAGCCGGCAGCCAGCATGAGCACCCCAGGCCAATGCCAGGGCACATACAGCACCACCGACACGGCGCCCGCATCCATCAATTTGTACCACAAACGGACTTCAAAACCGAGAGCATGAGTTGATTTTGCATGGAAAGAGAGAGAGAGAGGAGAGGGAGAGAGGGAGAGAGGGAGAAAGAGATCTTGCATCACCGGTCGCTCTCGTGTGCAGAGGGCAGCCGGGGTCTGCGCGTTGAGGCCGTGGAAGAAGACGTACTTGTTGTGCAGGGGGAAAAACTAAAAAGCTGGCTGGTTGTATCAAGCCGGCTTCAGGGTTCAGCAGATCATGCACGGCTGCGCTGCCGTTTTGACAGGTTGCGCGTTGTCCGTGTCATACAGGGAGATGGTGCAAGACCATGTGTGCGTATGCAGGTGTGATCACTTCAAGGTATAGTCAAGCTAAACGTCACGTGCATGTGTGCAAGCCACCCAAAGTGAGGAAAGCATGTGATGAGATCGCACATGTCACGCCATTGCAGTCTCTCACTTGTCTCTGGTTTAGATCTGGCTACAGGACTATTCTCTGAAATCAACGTTATATCCCATTGCCACGACGACACTTTGATGACTCACGTCTCCCTCTCTCTCTGCTTGAACCACTCGCCCCCCGGCCTTTCTCTGACACGACACTGTCAACGACTTCACTTTTTTTTTTCTCTCGACGCCGACGCCGACGCCGACGCCGACGCCGAACCCTTCAAGGTCAGTCCCGCCACCCCGGCCCGGCCAGATCCGCGCCGCAAACGGGCCTTGTCGTAATCGGGTTCTTGAGTATCATTCGCCACGGCCTGGCTTGGTTTCCTGTCGTCGAATCTACACGGCTGCTCTGCCATCGCTTCTCGAGTGTCGCTCACGTGCTCGTGCGGGTTTCGCTTGTGGGGAATGTAGATGACGGTGGCTTCCCAGGTGACCGAGGAGGTGGCAGCCGTGCCCACCAAGCACCCCCGCATGCCCACGGACACTCCGCCTTTTACCCTTGGCCAACTCAAGGTGATTCACCGCGTCTTTCCGCGTCTTTCCTTGTTACTCGTCATGCTCTCGCTGGACGTAAACTCATCTTCTTGCATCATCCGGTTCCGCAACCATGGCCCGTTAGGCAGCCATCCCGCCCCACTGCTTTGAGCGCAACCTCTTCACTTCGATGCGCTATGTGTTCCAAGACCTTGCTGGTGTTGCCACTCTCTACTACCTCTCCACCTTTATTGATCAACTGCCCTCGTTCGCCGGCCTTTTCCTCTGGCCTCTCTATTGGTACCTCCAGGTCAGTCTCTGTTTCCCCTCTTCTTCTTCTTCTCGACGTTGGCCCTTCCTTTTCAATCCCTCCCCAAGCGCCATCCCTCCCCTTTGTCTTGCCATGCACCAATTGCTGCCCACGCACATGCTCGCTGGTTTGCGTTTCCTCTATTCCTCAACTTTGAACCCGCCTTTTCCCTTCGTTCATAGGGTGCCGTCATGACTGGTTTGTGGGTTCTGGCCCATGAGTGTGGCCACCGCGCGTTTTGCGACAACGAGACCATTGGCGATGCCGTGGGCATGATCCTCCACTCTGTACGTGCTTTCTGCCATTGGACCCCCGCATGCACTTGATCTCCCCCCCCTCTTTCTTTTTCTCGGCCGTCCTCAAATACCATGGTGGTCGGGCACGATGAAGCCAAACGCATCCTCGAGTCCTCTCATTGACTTTTTGTTTTGGTCTCCCTCTACCTTGACAGGCTCTCTTGGTGCCCTACCACCCCTGGCGTATCTCCCACCGCAAGCACCACTCGCGCACCAACCACATGACCGAGGATGAGGTCTTCATCCCTGACACCCGTGGTCACGAGCACATTGTCCCCTACGATGAGATGGTCGGCCCCGTCTCGGTCGCCCTGCGCGTCTTCTTCTGCGCTCGTATGCTTCTCTTTGGCTGGCCCGCCTACCTCTTGACCCATGTTACTGGTCGTCAATACGGTCGCCGCACCAACCATTTTGAGCCCGAGTCTCCTCTCTTCGACAAGAAGGAGCGCGGTGGCGTGGTCCTCAGTGACCTGGTCCTCTTCTCCTGGATCGGCTGCCTTCTCTACGCTGGTCAGACCGCTGGCTGGGGCTGGCTCTTCAAGTCTTACTTTGTTCCTTACATCATCGTCAACTTTTGGCTCGTCCTCATCACCCACCTCCAACACACGGACGTCCGCCTTCCCCACTATCGCTCCCAAGAGTGGACCTGGCTCAAGGGTGCCCTCTGCACCATGGACCGCGACTATGGTCACCTCAACATCCTTCACCATCACATCTCCGATACCCACGTCGTCCATCACCTCTTCAGCTACCTCCCCCACTATCATGCCGAAGAGGCTTTGGCCGCCATCAAGCCCATTCTGGGCGAGTATTACCTCAAGGACTCCGTTTCCCCCGGTCTGCAGGGCGTTATGGAGGCCCTCTGGAACAGCATGACCTACTGCCGCGTCGTCGAGAACACCGGTGAGGTCCTTTGGTTCAAGGACAGGTAAAACGGCTTGCCCTCTTTGTCTTCTTGTGCCCCAAACCCGATTTGCGGTTGGATGAGCATGAGAGAATCGGTGGCAGTACCGGTTGCCGGAGAATGAGCGCCTCTGTACATGACCACACCCACCCATGTTCTTTTCCTACTCTGACTTGCGTTGCCGGTGATAGCTGCAGCGCTCTCTGTTTTCGTTTTTTTTTTTTTTTCTTGTCTTCGATTTATGGCCTTTCTTGCGCTCCTACCACGCCCCCTCCAATCAGTCATCCCCGTTTCTTTCCCTGTGTCGTGTCGTGTGCATGCGAGGCGCGTTGTGTTGCTCTCTTTGTCTCCTTGGTTCAACCTTGCGGAAGTGAAACAGCAATTCAGTTCCCTTCTTAGGCTCTCTCCTTCTCTCGGCTCTTTTCACATGTTGACGAAAAAGTCATGTGGGTGCGTTTTATGGAGTGTGTGAGCACGCACGCAGCGCAACCTCAAGCAAGCGAATTGGGGTTGTACAGAGGTCAAAGAAATAAAATGCCGGGTGATGTGGTGAGTACTGGAAGCTTAAAGGATGAAAGGAAAAAAGAAAAAAGAAAAAAAATTGAATAGAGAAGTAAGGCTCTCGATTTCATGTTTACGCAGACTTCTTGAGCTTGTTGTACTCAGCCTTGATGGCCAGGTTGCGCTGAGAAATGGAAGCACGACACGAAAAAAACATAAGTGGGTGAGATGCTTAACAACGGTCAACGACAAATGAAAAAAGAATCGGCGCGCCATAGCGGGCACGTGGGGTTGAGACAAACCTTCTGCTTGTTGACCTTGACGACAAAGCGCTCAAAGTCGGTCAGAGACGCACGCTTCTTGCGCAGAGCCAGCTTCTTGGCCCAGGCGCTCTGCTCCCACTTCTCGTTGATACCGGCATCAGTGTAAGCCTTGGCAACGTTCTTGGAGCGCATGCCAAAGACGATGTCAATCTTGAAGTCGGTCAGCGAGATGTAGCGGTAAGAGATGGGCTGGCGAGCCACACCGCTGCAAGGGCCGTCAATGAGGACCTGGGCATTGCAAAGAGGAGAGAAGGACAGGCGGATACCATGAAACAATGAGTTGAAAGAGCACGCGAGCGAAAAGACACGGTAAAAAGAGCATGGATGAACACGCCCACAAAAGACAAGCGGCAGAGTTAAAATAATTGACTCTCACAAATGCAGCAAGGTGCCGCTGCATCATGCGCATGCAAGAGAAGATACCACTCTACCACCAACACGATGCCTTGGGGGGTCAGCGTGTACACACCTTGGCCTCATCGATGCAGTCGACGATAACGGCAAGCTTGCCGGCATCGGGGCCAGCGTTGATGAGGACAACGCGGCCAACCTCAACGAAGCGTCGGAAAACCCTGCCAAGAATAGGACGAGAAAAAAAATAAACGCATGTCGTGAGCATGTGTGATGAGCCTTCAGGCGGGAACCAGGCATTCAGCTTTTCATGACCACACAAAAGAGGGCAGTCAAACACTCGCAGAGACAAGAAACAAGGCGAGCAAAGGTGGAGAAGGTTCACTCAGCAGCCTTGCTTCACAATCAATAAGACAGGCACGCGGCAACTGCACAGAGGCCTTTCTCCTGGGAGAGTCGAATCGGGTGTGACCGCGGCAGTCACGCAAAGCGTGTCCCGAGCAAAGTTTCGGTTCGCCGCCATGCGATCCCACCACGGGGGGCCACAACCGAACGCTCTCCATTCATATCCATTTTGTTTGCTCGAACCACTTTCGCCATGCCTCTCCAAAAAACCATCAAGCGGTGCGCACCAGACACCACTCGCTCACTCCTTCACTGCCGGTGGTCATCCATGGCAGCGGCTGCCCTTTGTGGCTGCCCTTCTCACGAAACATCGAGAACACATGCGCAAAGAACGAGAGAGAGCAGAACGACGTACATGGTGCTGGGTCTTCGCGGCGTGGTGAAAAGTGAATAAGTGAAGCCACGTTTTTCACCTCTTGCTTTATTCTAGTTTTCAATGTATAAAGCGGTTACACTTCATGAGCATGCATGACACACACACGGACACTGCACACAATAGTAATTCAGAACAGATGTATTTGACATGTGTTTCCCGATCATTTCGATCTGGGACTGCTTGCATGTATGCACGGCTCGGGGAGGCGCCCATCGTCCCGTCAATTGTTTGTGTGTGTTCGTTGAAGAGGTCGCTCCGTCTGCAGAACACAACGTCAACTGTAACCAACCAGTCCCACCTCTCAAGATCACTCCCACTACCACCACGCCACACACACACGCACACATCGACAAGGAAGTACGCCCCTCTCAAGAGATAAAGAGATAGCCAAATCGCATTTCACGGGTCGCAGTCGCGGGGGTAAGCTTGTGATGTGCTTGACTTGATCGAGGGTGTAGCCAGACCTACATGGTGGAAGTGGCATCAAGGGTCGCTTTTCGAGCCTTCCATTGCTGGAGCCTCCCCCCGCCCCCGCCCCCGCCCTAAACCGCATCGCTCACCTCACGACTGGTACGATCATGCAGAAGTTGCTGGTCATCTAATGACCGTGCGTAGCGTCCTTGACCCCGAACCCCCGCGTCTTGAATCTCGAGCCGACGTTTTCCCATTCCCCCGCAGCCCCTTTTTGGGTCTTTTTGTTGATAGCTGTCCTCTTCTCGACCACCTGAGTTCGAGCCACGGGATCAACCGGTCGCAAACCACCGTGTTTCACGGGCCGCAGCGTGCCCACGCTTGCGCCATGGCTCGCGTCAGCGTGTCCTGGAATGCGGCACTTGCACTGGCCCTGCTCCTGAGCTGGTCCGCGGGCACGGCTCGGGCCGAGATTAGTTTTAGTTGCCCTAGCGGTAGCAACTGCCGAATCTGTGACTTTCGCGAGACGGAAACCGTGTGCTTTCAGTGCACCAACAGCCTGTATCTATACAGCGGAGCATGTATCGCCGATTGCACCGTCCATCCCGGCTACGTCAATTACGGTGACGGCACGAATGGCCGCAGCTGCCGCTTGCGCTGCTCCTCCGATGAATATGATGCCACCCCGTCGGCCGCTTCCCCAACCTGTCTCCCCATCACGACCTGTGCCACCGGCGAGTACGAGGCCCAACCTCCGACCTACAGCAGTGACCGCGACTGCCAACCCATGTACTTCGAGTGCGGACCGGGCCAGTTCCAAACGACCCCTGCTACCTCCAATCAGCCTCCCAGTTGCACAAACGTCACCACCTGTGATCCCGCCAGCGAGTATGAAACCTGGCCTCCCTCGGCCACCACTGATCGACGTTGCGAGCCCATCAGCCCCGTTTGTCCGTTTACCTGCACAGGCACTGAGCAGCCTGTTGGTGGTGCGGCCTGTGGCTGTGCCGACTCCTGCTACTCGTGCATCGTGAGTGGGCCCAACAACCAGGTATGGTCGAGTTCCAGGCAGTATCAGTCTTCAACCAGTCCGCCTTTCTCCTTCCGATGTGCTCCGCTCCGCGCTGCCCCAAACCGCACCGACCCACCCCGGGCTTTACTTCCGTCTCGTGGTCCATGTCGAATGACAGCCTGAGAGGTTGTTGGCACCAGCGAAACTCGCTCATGCACTCACGTCCCTCCATGTGCCCTGCCCATCGTCCACTTTCTGGTAGACCTGCGTGGTGTGCGGCGATGCGACCTATTTGTACCAGGGCCGCTGTATTGCCAACTGCAGCTCCATCCCAGGCATGCAGAACGAGGGGACACAACCCTACAATCGTCGCTGCGCGCCCATCGATCCCACAGATACCTCCCATCTGGTGGCTATCCCGGCCACCGCCTACGAAGTGGCAGCACCCACCGCCTCCACCGACCGCGGTACATGTTGCGCGCGACCCCACTTCCTCCTTCGGCTGGGCTCGAGTTGCAGAACGCCACATGCACTCATAGTCCAGCCTGGGCTGCCTTGCTGACTTTTCTCAACACTGTGGCTTTTGGGGGCTTGCTCGCAGTGTGTCAAACCTACTCCACGCCATGCGGCGATGATCAAGTCGAGAGCGTACCACCCACCGTGACGTCGGGTACGGCTGGACCTTTTGTTGCACCGCCACAATTTACCTGCTGCGCTCTACCCTCTGTGTCAAGACTCGCTTCCTGTGACCAGGGTGTTGTTGGCTAGATCGTGCTTGCGAGGAGCGCGCCACTGCCTGCCCCGCTGGAACCTACGATGCCAATTTCGGCACCACGGGAAATCAGACGTGCCAAGCCTGGACCGGTTGCAACCGCATCTGCGGACCCGGCTCCACGGGCTGCCAGTGTACGGCTGCCTGCAACTCGTGCTACTACGATCCCAATACAGCTGGCAGCTACTGCACCCTCTGTGACTCCAACCGCTATCTCCTCAATGGTCGTTGCCTTACCACCTGCCCAGAGGGCTACACCGCCATTGGCCGCCTGCAGCTGGGTCGCCTCTGCCTGCCCACCGATGGCAGTCCGACTGCCCCGTCAGACATCCTCCTCGAGTATGAGGCCGCCGTTCCCTCAGCCACCTCCGATCGCATCTGCAGCACGGTCTCAGACTGCACAGTGGATGAATACATTGCTGGGACCTACACAGCCACCTCTGACACACAGTGCGAGCCATTGACCGTGTGCGATCCCTTGGCCGAGTATCAGACCGAGGCCCCAACAGCGGGGTCGAATCGTGAATGTGCGCCCCTGACCACGTGTGACACCAACACCGAGTATCTCGTTGTTCCTAGCACCCCCACAACCGGTAAGCGCCGCCGCCTTGTTTAAGCTGAGCAACCGCGACCCACCCTGTCGTCGTCGTCTTTTTTTTTTTTTTTTTTTCCGACTCAAGTCACACGCCGTGATGCCCCACCTTTGGGTCTTGTCTTTGCCCGGTTAGACCGAGTGTGCCAAACATTGACCGTGTGCCGCGAGGATCAGTATCAAGTTGAGGCACCCACAACCGTCAGCGACCGCCGTACGTCCCTGCATGTCACGTTTTATGGGCTGTGACGCGGCGAGCGCCGCAGCTTCTCTTCATGCGTGTCGCCGCCTCATTCCTTTCTTCCACGGGGATTTGGCGTCTGTTTAATAGGGTGCCAGAACTACACGCTATGCATCCTTGGCGAAACTTATCAGATTCAGGTTTGCTCAAATCCTGTGTGCACCCTGGCGCCTCATACGACCCTCGGGGTGACCTCACGAAAGGGGTTCGCCCGCTCTGTGCCTGCTATACAATTGCCTTTGCTCATGAATGGTTCAACGCCTTTCTACTTTTGTACTTTTTCTAGCCGGCCACGGCAACCACGGATCGCATTTGCTTTCCTACCCGCGACTGTCTCGAGGAGCAGTAAGTCGAGCCCGGGGTCCCTGCACAACAATCTGGTGTCTGGCGGCGAGTTCAGACATGTGCCAGCAGTCTCCACCTGCGGTTTGCCTCACGTGTCCCTGATTGCCACCTCATGTAGATATGAATATCGTCCACCAACGTTGTATCTTGATCGCGTCTGTCAAACGGCATCGACGTGCAACTTTGACACGCACTTTATTTCTGCACCACTGACGGCAACTAGTGACCGGTGCGTCGCATCATCTCTCGTCTTCATCAAGGCTTTTGCTTGTCCATGCGTATTCTGCAATGCCTTCCCCTTGACCTCTCTCTCGATTGGTGGGGACTACAGGATGTGCCACGCTATTTCGACTTGTCGCAGCAACGAGTTCATTTCGGCGCGCGCCACCATGACCACGGATACAGGTACGGAGTGCTCAAGGAACATGGGGGAGGCTTGCCCAGCTCGCTCACTTTTCTCTCGCACCCACTCTAGTTTGTCAGCGCGTGCAAACATGCGCAGAGATTTGTCGAGACGAGGCCCTGGAGATTTCAGGCCAAGCCTGCAGTTGTGGCCTTGCCAACTGCTCGGCTTGCCGCTTGGATACAGCCGACACCGCATGCGTGGCCTGTGCGCCAGGTCTGCACCTGTCGGAGGGTGAATGCGTGGCCAGCTGCCCCTTGGGCACCACTGCCGCCACGACCACGTCCACCGCCGGTGTTGCCACCACCATTTGCGTAGACGACCCATTTACAGTTCCCGTGGTGCGCGCACGGCAAGAGTTTCAGAGCTGGCCCGCAACGAGCACCACAGATCGCAGTATGTTGCAACCTTTGCTACGCCCCTGCCCTCGCGCTGGTTTGGCCAACGTGTGTGGTCCGTGTTCTCCAATCCTTCTTGACCCTATCCTTTATGGCTTGCCGCCTCTTGCCTCCAGGTTGCGAACTGGTGACGCAGTGCTTGGCCAACGAATTTTTGGCGGTTCCAGCCACCGCAGTCACGGATAATGACTGCCAGGCCGTTTCACGCTGTGACTCGACCCAAGAGTACCAGACGCACGCGCCCACCGCCACCTCGGATCGCGTCTGCACCCAGCTTTCGACCTGTATCCTGGGCTCGGAGACGGAGCTCGTTGCTCCAACGGCCACCTCTGACCGCGCCTGTCGCGATTGCCAGCAGTGTCCAGAGGGTGGCTTTGTTGAGCGTGCTTGCACTCAGAGCGAGGACACCGTCTGCGCCGGGTGTGATGCGTGTTCTGTTGGTTACTTTGCGCTGCGACCTTGCTCCACCCAGGCCAATACCTTTTGTGCTCCGTGTTCACCGTGTACTGGCAGTACCTACCTCGCTCAGGTATGTTGTACTTTTGATCACGAGCCATCACTCCACTCAGTCACACCTTTTGTCCTTCTATCCGTTGTTGATTCAATCGCAAGCTCATTGCAAACCATTTTTGCGTGGTTCCACCTTTCTTGCATCGTCTTCATGCGGCCGTGCCTGCTGTTTACCACGACAGCCGTGCGGTGGCTCTCTAGACAACGTCTGTCTCGGATGCACCACATGTGGCACCAACCAATACGAAGCCGCGCCGTGCACCAATACCACGAATCGGGAGTGTCGCCCCATTAGCA